TTGATTTTCTGACAATTGAATGGCATACACACACACACACAAATTTTACAATTTGCTGAGATTGTCACTGGGAGTCACTTCCCTTCAGAAAGGTACAGTAGCATCCAAGGATTTGAGCTCTATGGCGCCTCAAGCAGTTTTAGCCTTTGTGTGGGTACCTTGGCGGTGGAAATGACAATGCTTTGAAATTGGTGCCCCATGCTATGGACAATCGCATTTCAGAATCTATGAGCAACTGATGCTTAGTGGTTTTATATGTTTTCTTTGCATGTATCGTGTTTATCGGGACTGATGCCATTAGCCAGATGGACAAGACTGCGTGACTATACCATGTTTCTTTCCTGGACGTGGTTCCCCGAGTCACTACCATCCCTGCAGTTGGCACTGTTTAAGCATCAACCATCCACCAGTCCATAAATGGAAACTACTTCGGGTTTATGAATCTATTACTAGATAATTTGAGATTCAATTTTGATGGGTAGACCAGTCCTTTCCGTTGGCCACCCATGGAAAATCTACACATGGATCACATTGGCTAGACTCGTGAGTCTGCTAGTTGGACCCCTTTTGGATCAAGTCTCTAATTTCCATAGCCACGCGTTTTCGACGGGATGATACTGGAAAAAAAATCTAAGTTTCCTGGAAAAAAAACTGGGACGCTGGAAAAAATACAAAATATTGGTCCCCTGGTCCCTGGGTCCTCTTGATCCCCCTGGCCCTTTACCCTCCTCATCCTTTGATCTCCGGAACTAAGCCTATACAAGCCCGAAAGCAACCTTGAATAGGCCACAAACCAACCCTCAATAAAACCTAAAGTTACCGTCCTACATACTGTAAACATCCCTAATACGAACTGAAAGAAGCACCAAAAACACATCCAAACCACTCCAACTAAGCCCTAAAATGACACCTAAAAAGCTAAACCAAAAAACAAAACTTAAAACGAAGTCAAACAAGCACCAAACCCCCCATGAATCGGCACTATGTAACGCAACAGTGAACATAAAGAAACACGAAACAACAATCAATAAACCTTCAGCAAAACCTAAACAAAACCTAAATACGCCATAAAATTAAGCCCTAAACCAGTACTAAATACACCACTACATCACAAAAAAATACAATAAAACTACCATTAAATAAAGTCCAAACCAAAATTCAATAGACCCTAAGACAATCGGAAAAGATGCACCAAACCAGCACTAAATTCACACTAGAACAACTTTAAATCGACACCAAACAAACACCAAGTCAACCCCAAATCAACACTATATTATATACACAAGCCGAAGTAAACCTCACAAGAGGCCCTAAAGAAAACCTAAAGCGACCAAATCCAAACCATAAAAAAATAAAAAGCAAATGCCCAAACATCTTAAAGATAACTCCAGACATTATGCTGCAAATACCACGAGATACTGCAGAGAATCCCCTGCGTAGTACAGATGTTGGCCCCAATATGCTGCGAGCACGATGCAAACAAGGGATTCAAGGCCAAAACACTTTAAACGCCATGCATGTTTGAGTTCCAAAACCCTGCAAAAATTCTACAAATAAGAGATTTCAGCTCTAAAACCTACAGCTACAACATGCTACAACATATTAAGTCAAATTAAATTTTCTAGCCGATACAGACACTGATGGGGAGAACTAACATCATCTCAACTTCTTGGCACCTAGTAGATCCAGTAGTACAAGTAGCGAGCAGGCTACGACCATTGGAGCAGGTAGCAGCAAACACCAAAACCACCAGATTTTAACTTGAATATATTGTTGTATAACCCTATAATGTGGGAACCCAATTATAGACCCCAAAATCACCGTGTTTGCGGGTGGTATAAACCATCCCCAGTCATGGTAAGTTTATGGCATTGGAATGTCCACATTAACCCAGCGTTTCAGGACCTGACAGTGCGCCATTAGGTCGTAGATATTATCTTCCTTGTCGACATGGCCTTTCAGTTGCTCAGCAGTAAGCTGCGGTCTGCAGGAGGATGTTGATTCGATTTGTTTCTGTTGCAATTCTGTTTGGGATATGTATATATATATATATAGATTGATATCCCAACTGACCAAAACCATGTTTCACGGAAACCACAGACTAGCAAAGATACTAAAGCCCGTCAACCCCAAGTGCTACTAGGATGGAATTTGTGAATTGGAAGACAAACAAGTAAAAATTGTCATCCATAATAGGAGAAAGGGTGATATCGAACCGATGAAGATTGAACACGTGGTAATTAGGTTGTAGCTTGGTGCTCGAGGGTGATATGAAATAGCCTTGCTTGTCATGTTGGTTTCAGAATGTTTTAGATGGCTATGAGTCAATACCCTGGAGCGTTACCCAGCTGCTACGCTGACAGGTTCCTCACCGGATATCACGAAAAATTGCCGAACTCACGCTACGTGAAAGATTTGAGGACCATATGCAGTGGGCGGTGGCAGTTGGGCAACAGGTTGTTGATTTCTTGCTTCCACTTGTGTCAGTTTCTACTTCAAT